TCAAAAGACAAGGTCCTCCAGGGGCAAGTGGCAGCTCGGAGCCTAGCCAGGGAAGCCCCCTCGACAGCCCACCAAGTTCTTCCCTTCCAGCTGCAAGGAGAGGCAGTGCTCCTAACCAAGCGTGCCACTTCAGGCTGGCCTGGGTGACCATAGGTCCGGAAGAGAGAGATAATGTCCTCAGCCACCATCAGGGGCGGCAGCCAACAGACAGCCCTGGTGGAAGAGGATTTGGACAACAGAGAGAAGACATCGGTGGCATGTCCTGGAAGAGGAAAAGGGTGGCAAAGGTGGCAAGCAAAGCTCTGTCTCCCTAATTCCAATCAGTCGGCGCTGAGGCAGGGCATGGGGAAGTGGGCTCCAGATCCCTTTGAGGGGTCGGGGGTTGCTCTATGGGAAGATTTTATCTTCTTCGCATTGGGATTCTATTAAATTATACTTGAAACGTAATTTCAAAGATGCTATCCAAGTAATATGTGCATTTAATTAAAACTCACCTTTTTTTTCAATGCTTTATAAGTAATTCAAGCACTAAAGTTGGAACAGCCCGAGGGCGATTGGTTATAACCCCAGTCACTGCTTTTCCACTGCTAAATTCTCTCACCTACACGCCTCCCTCTCCGGTCTCCATTGTGCCGCCCCCGCCTGGCACTGTTCTGTAATTCCAGCCTCCGACCGGAGCCTTCCTCACCTCTGGGCCTCCATAAAGCCAGCAGGTACTTTTCTGAAAAGCAGATCTGTCCACGCCATTCCCCGAGCTATAGTACTCCTTCCTGAGCTGTCCCACAGCGTTCAGGACAAAGGGCAAACTCCCGAGGGTAACACCTCAGATGAGGCCTTCACAGTCCCTTCCCCTCCTGCCAGGACTGCCAGTGCCCCTTTGCCCCGAGCCCTCTGGGCATCAGCCACAACCAGCTGCTCCCTACCAAGCCTCTCTCTGGCTCTGCTCTGCCTGGAAGGCCCTTCCTCCCATTCCTCAGCCTGCAAGACCTGTGTGTCCTTCAGCCTCTACTATTATCTCTTTGAACTCTTCCCTTTAAATTCCTCATGCAGCTGGTTTCGAATTCCTCTAAGTGACCAGAGTGTCCAATAATCACCTCTATTACAGCATCTTCGATTTAGGGTGTGATTTGTTTGTTTGTTTGTTTCTGTATTCCCTAAGAGAATGTGAGTTCCTAGGACCCTGGCCTCATTTTATTCCCAGTGCTCAGCACTGAGCAAAGCAAAAAGTCCATAGTCAGCAACTGCTTCTTGGATGAATGAGCGATGGTAGGTACCCTGCAGCTGCCAGAGCTCCCTTTCTGCAAAGCAAATCTGACTGCATCATTTCTGAGGCGAATCCCTTCCTGGGCTCCTTCTCAGATGAGGTTACACTGGGGGCTATTAACAAACACAATAAAAGAAGGAAAAGGGAGAGAAGGAGGAGAAAGATCTATGGAAATCTGACGAGTTAGTTATTTTCACTGAGTTTCTGTGTCTTCATTTGTAACACAAACCGTGCTGCCCAGATGAGCTTAAGAGGGATCTTCCAGTTCTCAGATTCTACCCCGTTGGCTCCAGGAAGTCTTCCCCGAACCTCTAGCAGCTATAACTCGAGTCTTAGCACCACCTAGTGATGAACAGGCACAGCAGCAGTGAGGAGAAAGGTGGGGAGCAGGGAGGATGAACGGGACAGGGAAACCCCAAGCTGAACTATATGACGAGGCAGCAAGAAATTAGGTCAAATGTGAAGTTAAACCCAGAGGCTAAACCTCAGTGACTTTGAGTCCTTCATCCTGGTGACGAAATAAGTAATGAACCTCAGAACGTGTATGAAGCAGCCAATCAGGATGCCTGGAACATGAAAAAGGCAGCCATACAATTCCTGTGTCCTGTGGTCCTCTTGTTCTTTTATCGATTTACTGCTTGACGTGCTAGTTATATCTTTTCCTTGAGAGAAAATGTACTTTTGAAGAATCTATGGCACAAAATTCTAATAACCCAATAAAACTACAAATTAAGTATTTAATTAAGAGTACATATATATTTTCCAAAAAAAAAAATTTTTTTTGACCCTCGGAGTGTGATAAGAAAAGGTTAAAATTTCAAATATGGCCAATTAACATTATGAAAAATATTAAGAACGATTCTGAGAGAAGCAATAAAACAGTAACGAAACACGAGTGTCTAAATAATGATCACATGTAAGTTCCACTAAAACTACCAACATAAATCACTTATGAACCAAATATTTGATTTCTAAATTACTTTCTAGTTGCCGAAAATAAGAATCAGCCAACAAACTGAACAAATAACAATTTTCTTTTAATTGAACATTTACTGAAGGAGAATAACACTGAGACTTTGCTAAATATAATCTGTCACTGGGGCCATGCTCCTGAGACCATTTTCTGGGCAAAGCAAACACTTCAAAGAGTAGGAACTTTGTGGACCCTGAAATAAACAAGGGCCTTTGAATGGGGAAAGGAGACAAATTAGTCCTGCATTTACACTACTATCTCTAAAAGGAGATTGCACTGTAGTGCATAATTACATTAACAAATAATAGTAACCTCCATCTGCAGAGCACATGACTCTTCAAACCCATCCTTAAACGTCACACCTAATTGGGGTCCGATAGAATCTCAGTAACTATTTATTGACTGATACCTTACATATACGGCCATTATTACTGTATGACCCAGAAACGCATACAGTATCACATTAAAACTGCACTATTTCACTAAAGTGACTATATTTTCCAAGCCAAAAACGAGGCCACTTGTACAGACAAGAACGTGCACGTAGAGACAAAGGGCAAACCGAAACTACCGATATGTATATCATCTCCAGATTATTTCATTCTTGGGAAATTTACAATCTAGAAGGGTTTGGAAAAGGCAGAAACTACAGAAGGAAAAAAACAAGTCGCCTTTTTGCTACTGGAATCAGAATCCAGTGGGCAGATTTCGGAGACAGCTTTGAAAGACGGGGATAGATGACTCGTCTGGCACAGGCAGTTCAGGCATTAACAACATAAAAGAATGTAGCCAGTTACGAGCCATGGACTTATGAGGCAGGTCTATGCCTGATTTTTATATTTCATTTGCCATTAATTATTTGCCTCACCCTGTAAGCTTCCTAGATGTATCTCTTTTATGCCTGATACAGTTACATAAAGGAGGCTATGTTCTATCTGGATCAGCTCAAATTCAAAAAGAGTTTTAAAGGCACAGAGTTGAACAATAAACTTTCAATAAATAAAAAAAGTTTAATTCTAATAATGCTTAAATAGGTAACTAAAGCATTCATGGAAAAAGTCCATTAACCCAGTCAGTGCGAAGTCATCAGCTTCATAATAAAAGCCAAACAAGGAAAACACCTGCAATTAATTTCGTGGTGATTTAAAATATATTTACGTTACTGTGAAAAATTACCTTCTGAACTGGCATCCATTGAAATGTAAATGTGTTCTTATTCTCCAAACTATCCCTTTTTTTTTTTGGTCCGGAAATTGCATTTGTAATTTCTGTGTGTCCAGAGATGTCACAGCCACTGCCTCTGTTTTGTTGATAAGTGTGCTCTGCTGAGGGGTTTTAATAAGAGTTATTTTTCCTGTAATGAATCCTCAGCAAATGAAGCCTGTCTTTTCAGCTTGCTGGACGCAAGTGTGCCTTGATTAATGAACCTGTCAGCTCGATGAGCTGATATCACACAACAAAGGCTCAGCTAAAAAAGAATGTCACTTCTTATCCTGGTTGGCCACACACTTCTGGTATACAAGCTTTGTACACCTACCCAATATATCCAGTATTTCATTTGGGGTTTGGTTAATAATAAGGAAAATTACATTAAAGAAGATAATTGAATTATTTATTCAATAGAAATAATTTCTTTTGTTCAAATAATGTGCTTCATATGTGCAGGGTTGTTTTTTTTTCCTATTTTTTCATTCCATCAGCTGAACTGCTCCCCAACCACTGAAATCAATGTATAGATCGATATAAAGAACATTAATTTTTTCTAGATTCTGCCTGGAGATAAAGCCTTGCAAGAATAGAGTTGTCTGAGAGGGGAAAAAATAAAATCCTTAAATGAAAATATTTTGCTTTAATAAGTCAAAGACATAGAATCAGTTAAAAGTTAAGGCTATATGCTTTGATAGTCAATTTTAATGTGCTTTTATGCTGTCAGATTCCATCTCTGTGGAAGAATCAGAGAGCTCAGATTACAGGTGAGCAGAATTATGCACTACGCCGAGCTTCAAAACAGACAATATTCTTGAAAAATTACATAACCATTTGGGCAGAATAAATTTCAAGGGGATTATGAAGATGAGCGGTCCCAAAGTTATAACACAGTGGACTATCTCAAAAAGCGCATTCCGTCATGTGACTAAGGGAAATTACTAAATGTCACACTAAAGCTCAACAAAAGAAGGAAGGCAAAAAATAGACTTCTTTCAATGCCTGGGGAGATGCATATATATCAGGCTAGAGTACAGGTACATGCATACACAGTTTCCATAACTATAAACATCTAAAATGTTACAAAATAATAAGAAAGGGAATGTAAGCCTAGAGCCAAGGAAGCAGACACAGTGTCCAGCAAAAAGAAAGCGCGGGGTCACGTTTCTAAGGCTGGCAGAGTCTAATCAAACAGGGACATCTAGTTCACATAAATACCAAATTTGAGTACATCAAAGGACCGAATAAAGAATCAATGACAATGTAGGGGACATCGTAGATGTCATTTATAAGCATTCTAATGGGATTGAGGACAGCAATTCTGTGTTAAGTACACATACAAGTCATGAAACACTTAATAGAATGCAATATAAGAAAGCTCATTGAAGATATCACGCACATGCAGCTTCTTAATACATGGAACACAAAGAGATTTAAGCAAGCCTTCAGCAGAAACCAAAGTTTACAATAAAACAAAACATTAAAGAAATGCATAAAGTCTCTATAGCAGACCACTTCCTTATTTTGATTGATTTAAAAGAGTAATGGTCTTTTCTGCTAGATAGTCTACAAACAGCAAAAAGAAATCGCTAAGCCGAACAGCTCCAAGTCCCCAAGCATACAGGGCTTTGAGCGCTGTTTGTTAGTTGTACCATTCAACATTATATCATCTGCTGAAAAATTAAGAAAAATATTCTCACTTTCCTTTATGTTAGGGAAGAATTACCCCGGATCACAATGGATAGCTCAAATATGAATCAAAGTTTCTAATCTGCTTTGCTAGTCTTCAAAAATTTCTTCTCCATAGTCATCCTGTAATAATTCTTAGGAATAATTTTAAAAGAGAATCTACCTACATTCTCAATTCTATCGTTTCGAACTAAACTTAGGTTTTGATTATTATTTTTTGGTACCAACTTTTGTGGCTCATAGTCCTTTCCGACAGTTTCTTTCCTGGCAGGTACTGTTCATCACAGATTTGCCTAAAGTCATCCAATATATTATCTGTCATGGCATTGAGGTCAAACTGATTTTAAAGCCATTTACTTCCTTCAGGCTTATATATGGAAGTTTTACCTAAATTATTCTTTTAGAGCCACCTGGAAACACTTGAAGTTCTTTTTTTTTTTCCCCTTTCTTTAAGTAGCAAAGCGCTTTTAGTTTTAAAAATCCAGAAATGCAGAAAGTGGGGTTGACCAGCGCGGTCCCTACACATCTTTACAGAGACTGACTGCAGGAAAACACAACGGCCCTGGATTTCTCAGGGCTCCAGGGAAAAGCTCCAGCCTCCTGCGACTCTGCAAATCTGTGATCATTAGGTCTGTAGCCATTTGTCTAGCTAATTGCTCTCCTCTGAAAGGATGATAAAGTCCCTCTTATCCAATCCAGGGAGACGGCCAAATGGCTGCAACTGGGCCCAAGTCCCTAGATGAAGCCCCAAGGTGCAGAAGACACCAGCGCTATGTCCCTGGGTATTTACATCAAAAGGGGTGAAGTCCCAGAACTTGGAGACTCTGCTAGGCAGTAAAAGCAGAGACACTGGGGGGCTGTCTAGCTCCTGGAGGGATTTTTTGCAAACCAAAGGGTGGGAGGAAAGTTTCTGGCCCATTAGATTTCTTAGGAGAATCTTTCAAGAAGGGAGGGAGGGTAGCTACTCCTACCTCTTTATAAGCAGAAGTACATTGTTTTTCCTCATGCCTCACCTGTGAAGTGTCTGGCTACTTGCACAGGACATTTGAACCTTGGCCCAGGGTAAGACCTGGGGGAAGTGCCGGTGACGTGATGTACTTATTATTTACTTTAAGGTAATTAATAAGTAATCTGTCTCTGATACAGAATACTTCGTGTGTGCATTCAGCATAAAATTAATAAGCATGACTATTAGAACCAAACATTGATAAAGACTGGGGTGGGTTCTTTCCCTTCTCCTCCACCAATCATGACTGGCTCTGGAGAAGGGCGGGGATGAGGCATCCAATCAAAAGCTTATTCTTGCCTTCCCAGAATAAGGCTGGGAGGTGCTGGAATGCCTCAGAGCCAAGCTCAGCAGTGGAGGCTGCAGCCCCTGTTGTGCAGTGCAGTAGAGTTACCAGATAAAATACAGGACACCCAGCTTAATGTGAATTTGAGATAAATAATAAATAATTTTTACCATAAAAATATCCCAATATTGCATGGGCAACACTTATACTTAAAACAAAACCCTCCATTCATTGTTTATCTGAAGTTGAAATTTAACTGAGTATCTCGTATTTTTATTTGCTAAATCTGGCATTCTACCACGGTAACCAGTGAAGACCCTTTGGCGATGCCAATACTTTATACCCATTGAAAGAATAAAATTAGAAGAGCACTCAGATCTTTTTTCTCTTTATTTCTGAAGGGATACTGGAGGAGAGTGTGCTCAGGATACTGAATCCCGAAAATGTTGCCATCCACAACTGAATGTGTCCCCCCCACCACCCCTATTCATATGTTGAAACCCTAACCTGCAGTGTGGCTATATTTGGAGACGAGGCCTCTAAGGGAATAATTAAGGTTAAATGAGGTCATAAGGGTGGAGCCCTAATCCGTTAGGATTAGTGCCCTTGTAAAAAGAGACACCAAGGAGCTCATGCTCTCTCTATCCACATGCACCAAAGAAAGGCCTTGTGAGGACAAGTGAGAGGTTGGCCATCTGCAAGCCAGAAAGAGAGTCCTCGCCAGAAACCGAAGCCGTGATCTAGTACTTCCTGGCTTCTAGGACTGTGGGGAAATAAACTTCTGTTGCTTCAACCACCCAGCCTGCGGTGTCTTGTTATGGCAGCTGAGCAGACGGAGACAATATGGTTACAGCTGGCTTATCAAACCTTCATTGAATCTTCTTATAACAACTCTTATGCTAAAATTGTTTTAGTCCATCTAGCTAAAATATGGAACTCCCGAAGCCCAGAAAGTGACTGGAACAGTGCTCGGCACATAGAAGGAATTTTAAAAATATTTATCAAATGAATGAAAGTTACCCAGCTGAGGTCACACTGCAGGTCTGTCGCAGAAGCAGGACAGTGGCTTCAGGAGCCTCGTTTCCCAACTGTTTCTGTCGCTAGCCAAGGTGCTGATTCCCTGAGGATTATTTCCTGTGCCTGGCTAGGTTTGGAATTCCTTGTCTAATTTGGCTCTAATAATCCCCTTCCTGATCACATCACAGCAGCGTGGTGGACAAGACTAACTGAATGGGAAAGCTCTCTGAAAACCACAATGAGAATCACCTGTGTTCTCAGCACTTAACTGAAAGACAGCAGTGAGAGGCAGTTGAGTCTAAAGGATCATTGATGAGGAGGGTCTGTCCCGAGATCTTTGCTGCTGTGTCCCTTTTCAGGACGGGGAGGGAGCTGGGAAAGCCTGTGGGAAATGAGTCTTGAAACGCAAATTCTCCTTGTGGGAGAATTAAATCACTCTCTCCTAGTCATTTTCCCATCCACCGAGAAGTATTTGAATCTGATGTTGGTCAAAACAACCCCGCCTCCTTTCTCTATTCCCTTCTCCTAGATTCTCTTCCCGACGTTTGAATTTAGACACCGCAAATGCCTGTACTAGACCAAAAATCGCACTCAGAATGAGTAGCCTAGATCTTGAATTTTAAGTAACCAGGAAACTCCCAGAAGTACTTGTATCTGCATCAGTGAAATTTCTTTCCTTGCAAGCAACAGAAACCAACTCTGACTAACTTAAGGCAAAGATGAATTTTTTCAACATTCACATGTAATTAGGGAAAAGCAGAAGACCAAAGCAGGAAAAACAGTTAGTAATAAGTTAGTAACAAGAATCTGAGCAACAAGACGAATAACCTGTGGGGTCAGGATGCCGAAGTTGTGATGCATCTGCTCCCGCTTTTTTTCCTTTCCCGCCCATCTCATTGCTCTACTACCAGAATGTTTTCAGCTGCAGGTAACAGAGATCATGACTAAGAATAGCTTAAACAGTAAAAGCATCTCACTGTCTTATGGAGATGAATGGTTTGGGGGTTGGTGTTGCAATTCACGCATGTCACAGTCTGCATCTTTGATCCTTTGGCCATTTGATCACAAAGTGGCTGCTGCAGCTCCAAATACTTCCTCCCAACAGTATTGCAAGCAGGAAGAAAGATAGACAGTGGAAATAGGGAGTTTTCTTTTTATCAAGGAGGCCACCCATCGTCCTTCCCTTTATATTTCATTGGTTGGAACTAGCCACAAAGGAGGCTGGGAAAGTGGGTATCGGACATAAAGGATCAGAAGAGCGTGACTGGCTTACACCGGGGCTTCATTTCTGGGGCTCAGCATGTTGCTGCCCAAAACAAAATTGGGGTTCCGTTAGCAAGGAAGAAGGGGCAGCAGCTCTCCATATTGGATATTCAGGAAAGAGAGCCAATGGTCTTAGCTCAAGTCACCACATTTGAGCATAATTGAAAGGTGAGGTTTCAAAAGGGAGCAGGATCCTGTGTCTGGAAGGAGGGAGATGGAAACTGGGTGCAAAAGAGACTCATCTCTATCTCCCTCTCCCAGTGGCCTTTTCAGACATCGGGCGGTATTCCAACCAAGCCAGGACAGGCTATGTAATATTTGAGGCCCAGTGCAAATAAAAATGCAGGACTCTTTTGTTCAAAAATTATTAAGAATTTTTAAATGGTGACAGCAGAGCATTAATTAAGCACGGGGTCCCTCTGAGCATAGGGCCATGTGTGACTGCACTGGTCACACGCTCATGAAGCCTTCCCTGGGTCTAGCCTAGAGCAGAGTGACCGACCTGGGAAAATAAGCTTTGGTTAAGGAGTTTTAGGGTCTGTTTTTGTACGAAAATGGATTAAATGGATTCATGGATGGAGGAGAAGCTGTGATATTTATATTGCTATAATTAACATTTCTCTTGGTCTTAGTACCAGCTCTTAGTTAAAGAGCAAAGAAAGAGACGATCACACCCTTTCTATGCATATAACCCAAGACACAGGCAGAATTCAGAGAAGACTGAGTTTTCCAGAGGGTTCTACTCCTGATGTAGCAGAGGAAGGGGAATAGAAGTCAGCTTTACTCCTCACGCCCATTCGAACTTGGCGATGCCAATCTATTATCTGATCGTCACGGTAGCCCTGTGTGGTGTAATATATTATCTCCATCTTATGAGATGAGATCATGGGGTCTCGGAGACGTCCATGGTCGCCTGTGGGATGTGGTCATTCTGGGGCTGGAAGCTATAGAGTTGGAACCCAGAGCCCATGTTTATTTGTACTCTGTACCATCAAACAAACCTGGGGCTGGGAAATTTGTAAGCGATTGGCTTGGTGAGACCAGCAGGTGAGTCTAGACATAAAGGGGCTGTTTTAAGGGGTCGTAGAATCTTAGGGTCTAGGGAGGCTTGATAAGGTATGCCACAAGGATATCACTCAGCCACAGGGATGCAGGATGGATGAAGGTCTCAAAGATGTCAGTGGGAGATGAGCCAGGGAGGCTGAGCCAGGAAATAAACGTAGGTTTTCTCACAAAAGTGTCTGTCATACGTGATCAGCTTCTGAAACGAATCCACAAGCCAGGAATATTTGTCTAAATACTTTTAATTAAAATGCACTGTAATAAGATGAAAGCTGGAGTGTAAAATGCAGTTCACATTTACTAGGAAAGCAGATGAAAATATTCCAGGTAGTTGAATACATTTTGATAATGAAATTTTAAACAGCTGCATGGCTTTAATTTTATTTAAAATATTCATGTAGTTAAAAAAAAAATAGCTTGCTATTTATTTTCTACCAAAATGCAGAAAGTATTGAGACATTTTAAATTAGTAGAGATTTAACACACATGAACAAAAATCCTGTTTCAGCCGCAGAATTACAGTGTCTCTGAGCTGTACCCTCCATACCTTGCTCATCGACCTGTACAATTCTATTTGGAGAATAATGCCAGCCTCCAATTCAATTTATCTAACATCCAAGTTTTGTGAAAGTGTCAAGTGTAATGAGATAGCTCAGTGAAATTAAGACACTGTTAATCTCATTTCAAAATCAATTTTTCTTTCCAGGACAATTCTTGGGAACCTCAAAAATATCTTGCTTTATAGAATAAGCAGTATATATTCAAGGGTTGATAGCTAAAAGAATAAGTACATTCATATAAAAACAAGATTCCTTATAAAACAGGCCCTCAGAGTGAGGATGCCCTTGAAACATTTTGCCATCTACCTGAGGGCAACGAGCTTACTTTATCGATATATCTGAAATACTCGCTAAAGATGGAAGTATTCTCTACGCTTGGACCTTAGAATATTCAGTGCAAATATGGAAATGATAAATGGGGACGGTAAAGAAAAAATAATAATAACCCAAACCTCCAGACTTCTCTGATTTAAAAACAGTGTTTAGGGTGAAGCTTTGATGTTTTATTGCAACATCGTGCTTAACAGCATAAAATTGGAGACAACGCAAATGCGCGTCCATGGGAGAGCAGCTAAGTGTTACGGTCCTTCCATGCAATGGACCAGAGTGTGGCCGTGAAATAAGCAGGCATGCTCTCTATGTACCGAAACCGAAGATGCTCCCAAATAAATCAAGTGAAAGATAACGGCGGCTCTGGTAGGCTACCAATTGTTTAAAACTAAAAATGGAAGGGAACAAGGATACGTTTACACAGTTCTCTGTGTAAACTTCAAATATCTCTGAAAGGATACACAGGAAACTGATAACAGTCGTCGCTTCTGGAAGGGGAGCGGGGAGGTTGGGCGCCTGGGGTAAGAGGGAGAATTTTCACTGAGTCCCTTTCATACTCATGTAAATATATTACTACCTATTAAAATAAATTAACAGAAGTTTTTTTTAAGGATAAAATAATGTCACTTATCATTATATTCAATGTGACGATCACTCGGATCACGTGATATGTCATCAACTAAATAAACCTGTTCGTCACCCTGGAATTTGGAAATGCTCTGACCAGGCTGAGAACTCCCATACTATTTAATTTTTCCACGGAGGAAATGAATGTTCTGCTTTTAGTTTGATGGACAAATACAGACATTTGCAAGCTCTCAAAGGCCCCATCAGCAGTTCCCAATGTTCTTGTAATTTTGTATAAAATGGGCAGTACCTATCAGAAATCTGGGCCTTTTGTGTTCGTTGTTGCTGGTGGAAACAAACATACTAGCTTTTGCTTTTAATCACCCACTCCCCCAAGAGCCATTCAGTATGTGAATCAAATCCTCAATAGATATCCACTGATCAAATTACTCCCCCCAACCCTTTTTCTGAATCATAATAGTAACATGCCATGATCTGGAGAAAATTCAGGGACTTCAGTGGTGTCAGTTGTGAGATTTCATCTTCTAGGTTTTATCTCAGTTGCTGCCCTCATCTCTATAGCAAGGGTGTCCAAAGCCAGTAGTAGATTAATCCCTGCTGATGAGAGTTGGTGACTGGCAGAGGAGATGCTCAGAAATGCTCACAGCCCCCTCCCCCCACCCC